CGACTCGGTACGGCGCGATCGACCCGATCGAAGTGCCGGGCATACATCGCGCGATTGCTCATCTTCCTTCTTCAGGGTTGAAAGGCGGCTGTAATCGATGCTGTCGGACGATCGAATCGAAACTACGGCGGCTGCTGGCAGTAGCATCTCGTATAATGATATAGGCGAGGACGACGGACGCCCAATCGCCGATCTGACATGCGTTCGTAACGAAGTAATTCGATCGTGTCACGAAATCCGCTCCATGTATTTTGCCACGCTCGCTATTCCTTCCGCGAGTCCCCAGATTGGCGCAGCTGCTGCGATTTCGATTCGTTTTCTCGCTGACGCAAACAACGCACGATGAGAGAGTAGAGCAAGTTTGTCATTTTATTCCAACATTATCAAATTCTTAACGGCAGCGGATAATGTTAGACCTACACGATTCTCCCAGCTAAAGGTTAATAGATATCTGCTGGTCGAATTGGCACGATCAATAAAACAGATGAATGATTTACAGGTTTTCTTTTTTATGCCGCACTTAGAAATTTATTAGAGATTATCGGACGATTAACGAGCGCCTCGTATTCTTCTAAACGGAACAACGGTGTTACAAACCGATGCGCGGACACTTTAATCGGCGATCGGCGCTTTCTGGATCTGATATGGAAGGTGTAGAGCGAGAGGCGCGGCAAGGGTAGAGGATGTTATTCAGAAGCGATAAAATCGTCGTAGTAGTGCATGTAATGACAAACACATGCGTTCTCACCCCGATCCCTGACTCCGCGATGTGTATAGGTCGCCCTATCGAGCCGGATCTATATAACGTGGCATATGTTTAGGTCATTAATTAGCATCTGGAGCCAATTAAAGTAATTACGAATTCGACGGTAAAATATCGCTGCAGGCTAGGAGGAGCGCTGCTCTCTCGGCGGCCGCGTACAAGCGATTCCGAAGCCGCATGGCATACACGCAACAAAACCGAACCACGTCAGTTTTTATCAGACATCCGTCATGTTGTGAAGGCGATCGATTGTTCTACGAAACTATAACGGGGATACTTATATTGCCGCCATGAGGCAATGTAAAGTTCCCCCGCTAGCATTACGCGACCGGTCTATTATTCTCGGTATCGCGATCTCGTTACTAATGGCATCATTACTATCCGTTTCGACAAGTTCGGAAACTTCAGTAACGGCTACTTGCAGAGCTTATCGAAGTTAAATATTGACTCGTATCTATAATATATATATTATGACCTAAAAAAGAATGTAGTATATGCGTGATATTATATATATTGTACATCGCGAAGCGGTGTCAAGAAAAAGAGTATATGTATATATCTCCGCTGCACACAATTTAATTTATTCACCATTTCTCATTAAAGCGAAAACATTAGATTGCATCGACGATGCGATCCTTATATCACAACGCTTTTTATAAAAGCGCGCTGTGCCTCCTATTTCCGGCGATGCATAAATATAGTGGGAAATATAAATTAGCCGTACATCGTAATGCAGTTTAATTACAAAATAGGAACGCGCGCGCTTATCGCCATTCGCGGTTAATTTTGCAGTGGTGAATATTTAGCGCAACAATAACACAAGATGCATCGGCACGATACACGTTTGGCGCTAATAAATCATCGTCGGCAAAATCTTTTACGTTTAGATCGCGCGAGTTATGACGCTCAATCGTTCTTGACGTTCGAAGAAAACCATTATCCCCCCAATGACTTCCGCTGTTAATATAACGATCACGGTAGTTCCGCGCGGGAGGACGATCGTTATCGGCGATCCTCTCTCTCGATCCTCCATCTATCAGGCCGCGAGTCCTCGGAATTTCCCCCGCCGCGGACACCAATTTCCTGACGTATGTCCACGTGACAAATACGCAGGATGCTACCAGACGGCAGCTATCGATACGCATCCGCCATTCGAACAGCCGTATATTACGGCTCGCTCTCGGATATGTATTTATGCTTCCCGTATCATTTCGCAATTATCGATAACATCGTCAAGGCTTTTTGCAGGAAACAATGGGTCATTACTTGCCTGCTGTAGCCTGGTGCCTCTGTTTCTCCTTCTCTCCCCCTCCCTCCCTCTCCCTCTCTCTCTCTCTCTCTCTCTCTCCTTGCCTCTGTCCACGCTCGTCCGCACGTCTCCCGACCGTTCGCCGATCACGACGCCATATGTGTCTCACGAGATGTCACACACATTGACAGATCAATACACATGCTTATATCGCGTTCGCGCGACAATTAAATGATTATATGAGACCTCTTCAATGCCGTTGTTAATTTTATTTTCAGTAATTTTACTCGAAATCAATATCCTCTTACATTAAGTCGAGTAGCAAGTCTGCAACTTTATTGGCACACCTATGGTTGAGTCAATTCATTTTCTTCATTCACACTATAGGTAGATTATAGGCTGTGCACTTGAGAGATAGTGAATTGTCGATCGAGATTGTCAGCGTAACTCGAACTTGTTAATGAATGGACGGATCATAGGTTACATCATCGACGCTCAATTGTTGATCGCAGAAGCGACAGGTCCGGTTTCCCTTCCGACGCGGCGAGCCGGTATAACCTGTTTGATTCGAGCGATCGATCCCGAATCCCTTCCCGGATGCCTTCTATCGGATTGCCGCGAACGTGGATAAAACGGACAACGGGAAAAGAGAGGAAACGAAAGAGTCACGAAGAGAGGACAAGAATTGCAAGCAGGGATAACTATCCAGCATATATACACCGCGAGTATAGCCGAGGATAGGCCGGTTCGAGGGTCGAGCTACTTTGAATATAAAAGCTGCTATAATTAATATCCAAGCGGGAACAACGGGGCGGCGAATAATATTGTATTTATTAGATACTTTACAGGGAAAGTTTAAAAAGGTAATCCCCTCTTTGTATTTAATGTTACGTTCGTTATTTTCGTATCGACTCTCCCTTTTTCTCTATCGATGAAAAAGTTTTGGTTTGAAAGACACCGAATCTATTTGTACGTCTTCGCACTTACGACATTTTGTTTATGTGTTTTACCTCAATAAACGTTGCAACAGACGTCGACGTTCTAATTAACGAGCGTTTTATTAGAGGTCTGGCAAAGGTAGATGTAGATGACAAAAGTATTTCGTCGTTAATGATCTCGTAAGAACTATATCTTCGTCGTTCTTGACGGAACAGTGCTCTTTTGCGTATCGATATGCATGAGCGATTTCAGCAGAAATGCAGAAACGCTACATATGTGGCCTAATTATTGCGACTCTGACATGTTACAGTAGCAACGATGTTTACCCCGCGAATATTAAACAACAGTTAAACTTGCAAAAATATTGATAACAATCTTAGTGTGGTGTGATTGCATTGTCTGCACAACCCGCATAAATTATATTCGCGGAATCACTCTTCGCTCCGGTACACAGACACACATATACACATACATATATGTTTATATTCTTATTTTGTACACGTAAGAAATTAAACAAGGCATATACAAGACAAACGGATCAGTTAACATAGACATCTATTTACACTGTATTTATCGACAGTTACGATCTTTCTATAATCAGTCGAGAAGAACATTTCTTCTCGATAATTTCATTAAGAAAAATGTCCTAAATATTTAGAAATTTAATCTTTAAGTGGATAAATGGTATAGTAAATACTATGGTATAGTTTCATTATTTGCATCTGTTAGGTAGTCTTCTTTAAAATTTTGTTTTGAAAAAGGAAAATAAAAAGTATCGCCATGATACCTAAAAGTTTTACAGTTCATGATTTTTATATTCCTTTATTTCATAAGCGTATAACGATAATAGTATAAATATAACAATAAAAATGAATTTTTTTGGTGTTCTGAGCACCTCGTCTACCAACTTGCGTATTTTTAAACCATTTATCTGTTAATTGATTCGTGAAAGATTGTAATTGGTCTTTTGAAAGTAGAAACCTAGCGTAATCGATTCAGAAAAATGAAAAAAATGGAGATTATAATTACATAGAACCATATATACGTAAATAAACTTCTCGACTTTTAATTTTGAATCTATGATTTAGTTTAATTTTATTCAAGATTACATTTTGTAAGTGTCGACCCCCTTGTCAATTTATCAAACAGCAATCTAATCTCAAAATTTGCCACATATGATACATGTGATACACGATTCGTAGCATACAGAGAAAAGTAACGCTCGATCACATATATTCGAATCAACTGAATAATTATATAATATATTTGTCCCGCGGACGAAACCACCACACACAGGTGGTTTGACGTAAATTCTCCCGCGGGCAGCCTTCAAATTTCAGTAACATTAAGGAATTAAATTATATAGAATAGCGAAGTACATTACAGTGTTCAGGATCAAAGAAACTGCGACGCCAGCATACTATTTCCTGCGCTGAAAATATCAAAGCAGCCTCGCGCCGCTCGACGGGCCGTCGTTTCTATTTTTGCCGGCTTTTCGTAGCTGCGAAATTAGGTGCAGCCGGCGAGAATTGATTGATTTCGCGTCGCACGGCTCCGCAACGGTAATTTAACGATCCGGACCACCGTGAAAAATTTGCACACCTTAAGCGCAATCGTCTGCGCCGTTAAAACTCTCTGACTGCATTGCAAAATTAACCTCTTTAAAGTGAAACGGAGTACAACCTCGCGCGAATTACAAAGTATGTCTCGGTAAAAAGGGCTATCGTTTTATTATTATTAACTCGAGAGCATTGACATTTTTCCGTTCTGCTACTAATTAATCTCGAAATTAGTTTATCAATGTCTACGATATGAAGAACTTACCGATAAAGTTGATAAAAAAATGTCAATACTGCTCATTTATATCTCGTGATATTGTCAATGTGACTCGAATCAGTTTTGCAATTCAACATAATGCGATCTTCGTCTCGCATGTTTGATTAAATCGCCGAGAAAGTTAAAAATGCGATTTTCAATTCTTACTGACAAGTTAATATACTGTATATTACGAACGTTAACATTCATTACCGTCTATTCTCGTTGTTACAGAGAGCGACTTCGGCGGAGAAAGAAATAGCCGCGTTAAAAGAACAGCTCGCTGCAACGAATGACAACAATTCCAAGACTGAGGGACACCAATTGTCTCAGCCTCCGCAGGGAAGCGATCAACAACAGGTACACGATGCCAGCAATCCCAGAAGGACGCCGAACAGTAACCTCGAGCAGGAGCTGCAGGCCAAAGACAAAGAGGTGCGTTAGATCATACTCGCCCTTCCGCTAAAATGTTACTCTCTCGTGTATTGCCATGTGAAATGGTGATTGTAATCTTTGAACTTCTCTCTCTCTCTCTCTCTCTCTCTTTTCCTCTCTTCTTCCCTTTTCTTTTACTATTTAATTATATAAAAACAAAAAATAGTAGATTAAATAATAAGTTAAATAATTTCTTCAAAAATACTCATTAACAATAATTTAAATTGTCTGTAATAAGAAAGAAAATTGTCACAGTATTCACGTTCTTATTACTTTCAAAAATTTTTTTTTATTAATAACAACATAGATGATGAGATAGTATTATTGTAATCAAGAAAAGCAAATCTCACACGGCTCACGCGAAAGGATTGACAGATCGAATGTTCCTTCACGAGTGATCGCGAGGCTTAACCAACTGAGGGTTGCTGCATGCAAAACCACCAAGTGGATGCTACTGTAATTTCTGTGTGCAGACACGTGTGAGCTGCGGCACGTTGAAGTGAATGACTAACGTTGCTCGTGTTCGATATCCGCATTCGATGGATTATTGTCCCTCACCTTCTTTATCCACCTACGCAATTTCGTTCCACGCAATCACGTTCGTATACCGCACGCATGTCTGACACTCACCCCTTTGTAACCGATTACTATCGTCTCTCGGTCCTCCAAATAGCGTACTTTTCAATCAAACTTTTTCAAATCAATAGCCACGTTTAAATAGTCAGAAAAGGTTTGCAATTTTTTTGAAAGACAGCTAAATGTACGATACAGAATAATATACTGGAAAAAATCTTTGCGATAAATTGCAATTAACCATAAAAAATTTTAATTGTATCATATATATATATATATAGGTATATATTAGTATTACATTATATGTAGTATACTTAAAATTTAATTATATATAATCAAATAATTTGGAAATTATATAATATAAGTAGAAAGTTCCTCATAGTGAATGATGCACAAATTATGCATAGTTCCATCAGTTGATATATTTTCGTAAACTTTGAAATAATTTTATTAATAATATTATTATTATTATTAATTATTAACACATAACATATATTATAATTAAAATAATATTAATATAACATTAGGATTAAAATTTGATTAGACCTTACCTAAAAGTGTAATAAATGTAATATAATATATTACAATTAACACATTATTAAAAAATATTATATATAAAAGAGAACATTGTTTATTATTTCAAAGATTATAGAAATGATATCAACCGATGAAACTACGCATAATTTGTGTGTCATTCACTATGCGGAACTTCCTACTTGTATTTTACGAATTATATTTATTTATAAAGAGATTGGCATATAAATTATAGATACAGAGGCGGTTTGTGGGTTTTACATGGCGAACTGCATTTAAAAGCGGTAACATGATTGGCATTCAAACGGCAGATAATGAATTCGGGCGAGCCGTTTCGCAACTCTCGCGTGGCATTTTTCTCTCGAGAAAGATACACGATCGGGACCTAGATTCACGATAAACGTTTCAAATTACCCCACCACGCGAAACCACGCAAACTCTCGCTTGCAGCTATAAGTAGCGAACGTGTAACTAATGATACCTGATCAGCTCTATCGAAATAGATAACAAAGTCAATTTAGAAAAGCCGTAACGCGCCGGGGATCTCTCCAGCTGTATCGCTCTCCAGCGTTGTCCATTAACGTCGCGTCTGGATGAATAGGTGCATCTCAGCATATATTTAGTAACGACGAACGGCACGTTCGTATACGAATCCGGTCGGCATGCTCGGGGGATCGTTAAAGCGCCGGAATGTGGCGGTGGCAACGCGCGGACCATTATTATGATTCGCCGGTCCACGGTTTCGGTACCCCGTGCGATAACATTATCGTATATTTATCGGGAGGGTAAATAACCCCGGGGAAGAGGGCAAGCCCAAGCACGCGCGCGCGCGGTTTCACTCTCGGCAAAAATAGCCGCGACGATCGTGCACAAACCTACGTCTCTGCGAGAAGCTACACTAGTAACATTGCTTTCGTCTAACTTGCCCGCTGTAATCTTGAGCTGCAATACGCAGCTGCCGCGTGACACGGATGAATGGAGATAATGACGGTCATCCCTCACTTTTACCGCCAAATATTCGACCTAATAAACTACGGTCGTCTCGTACGGAGGGGGACTCCGTTTTCTTCAGTTTCGTTTTATCTAAGAGAAGGGGGCATCTCGCGAGGTATGCCGAGTCGTTACGCTTCTGGTTGATGTGCAATTAAAGTCGATTAATTGCACGTAGGTAATTATATATAAATGTATGTAGCGTAACGAAAATATTATGTCTGCCTCTAACGTATATGTGTTATCATTGTATAAATCACGTATACTTGAGACAATTCTTTTTAATTCTGTCGTGTTGATAAAATTTTATCAATCTTAATTATACATCAAGTATTAAAGCGTAATTTTTTATTAATAATAACAAATTTCAAGATAAAAAAAATAGTAGTTTGTGAATGCTACAAAAAAATCTGTTTTCTATTCACTCGTTCAAAACCATAGTAGAAGGAGAGACGCGTTATGTAGATTAAACTGACAGTTGAATAAGGTATATAGAGCTATCCAAGCCGATAAATCTTCGAGAGGTAATATAGAATACGAGTTACCCGCCGCTACTCGAAGCCTTTTTTCCCCCGGAAGTGGTCAGGAAGAGTCTAAGTGGTAGTTGCACCCTTTAGTGCCGTGCACTTTGCGTGGTTTACGAAGCAGCGTGCAAGGAGGTCGAGCCCGTAAAAATCTTGCGGTAAAGGAAAAGGAGTGTAGCGGGAGGAAGCGTAACCTGTTAAGGGTATATAATGCGAGAGGGGCGAAAGCAGTGGCGCAGTGGACGGGAGGGTGGGTGAAGGCGGATGTACACGAGTCCTTAAACAAAGCCAAAAACACTTAAAGCGGCGCGCGCGTGAGAAAGGAGTGATAAAAACGCCGCTAAGAGTTCAATAAGTATTCTCCTTAGAGCCAATAACAACCACTCCTCCTTTTCTGTCGCCTTCAACCACCGTCCGCCCTTCCTCTGTTCTCTTTGCGCCTTCCCGCGTCTCCGTCGTCCCCGCGCGACGAAAATCGTTTGCTTCGAAGCCTCCGAGCCTGTTGTAATCCTGGAGCCGATAATCTCCGATCCCGTCCCTCCTCTTGTCAACGTCGTATCCCTGGTCCTTGTTCGTCCGTCCCCTTGTCTCGAAAATAGGAAAGGGGATGGTGCGCGTTCTGTTCTCACCGACGCGACGATGCCTTTTAACGGATAAGAATTTGCTCCGCGGACAATGTCTTTATTGAGAAGCCATCGCGCTCCGTGGAGCACCGGAATGATTTTTATTATTCGTCGATTAAAGGGACGTAATGGCAGTTTCAAGTCCCTCCCGAGCGACGGGATGATTTAAAGACGATAATGAGGAGTAAATAATGCGATAGTGTCTTCGAAAGAGGGGAGCGAGGATGGGTGTCTCAGGGAGAGATGGTCGCGCGATACTCTGGAGTACGCCCATGAATTATGGAGACTTCGGAAGTACGTTAGTTTATGCCGGGTCGATAATTATCAGACACGTGTGTCAATGTATATTGCTATACAGCTGATACTGTCTTTACTCCGCTAACAATTTTGGATGTTTAATACGTGTGTTGTTCGATTCCAAACGAGAATAAATATCAATTTGTCGATATCTTATATGAACTACTGGATTAGAATAGACATTACCCAGAACTTCGAACAAGACAGATCTTAGAAATGTGTTTGTGAACGTTTCGCTTCCGCGATTTCGACGGATGATGCATTTTTTGGCATATTAATAACATTTTTATCACTTGATATCGGTGACACACGCAGCTCAGGAACTTTGCTTATTTTTTTGGAAAGCGTGTCAACAAGTCTTGTCAAGCGAGTCCGATTATATCAGCTATCTTTTTCCGAGAGCTTGTTAGCTGATAAGAATTATCAGCATACTTTACACTTATCAATCGACTCCACAGCTTCGATCAACAAGTTTTGACATAAAAAAATAAACTGCTTCTAGACAATCTTGAATAATTAATTTTAAGTTAGTAATATTTGCTTGTACTCTTTTACAGATCACGATCAGAATTCTACTCTCATCGCCACTACATTATTAGATATCAAAACCCATTTTCTTGAGTATAAATAACATTTTGTTATTTCTAACTTCTATGTGTATTAAAATGTAAATTATTTCTGTAGTTAGTTTCAAAGTTTATTTTTATTAAAACAATGTGTTCATATTAAAGTATGCACTTAATAAATATTGTAATAAATTTGAGTAAAAAATACATCTGTTTTAATTGAATTAATGACATATTGAGTACGAACAGCGACGACCTATAAAAATGATAAAAATAACTTGAATTGAGTATAATTTGACATTATAAATTTATTAGTGTAGTTTCGCTATCAAAAACTCACACGAAGCGATGCCTCAACCGTGTACATACATACATACATACATGTACGATACGCTGTTTTGATTTTCATATTTGCACCCATAATGCGGAACAAAGTAACGATGATTCGCGATTGCAAATGTCTTCATGTTCTGCGACTCATTATCTCCATTTTAGAGCTACCAGTATTGTATGTACGAATCATAGCTCCGACCACCAACGGCCGTCTCCGTCATGGCATGTCTGTAATTTCAACAAGACATTGTGAGCGATCCACGCTGTCCCCGTGGCACCCTGTCCGTCACCCCCGAAGACAGGCTCGCGCTTCGCGCATTTAAATCGTGCGTTCCAGAAAGCGTCCCGCTCGCTCCGCCGGAAATAAATCACTCCTGTCGCGCGTCTGAATCACGGTCCCGTGCAAGCAACACGAGGGTAAGAACGTCGGAGATTTCTTTATTTTCGGTGATTCCGTTAAAGTCTATGTATCATTCGTATACGATATTGAAATGTTCACCGTCCAATATGAGCAGAACTGCTTTCTTTCTTTTCTGTAATATATTAATAAACGGAAAGAT